GGCAACATGGCCTTTAATCTTCCTATGCAGAGACCCCCATCTTTGGATATTTCCCCTTCAGACATATAAAATCCAAAGACAATAAAGGTCTCAAAATATTGGTTTTAGTCTATTCTAAAGCAAGAGCACTCAAGAAGAAATGCTTCAGAGGTGATATCGAATGTCACAAAACTATAATGAAGATTAGTCACACAGAATACCATCCACTAAAGAAATGAGAAGAAAGGCCATTTGTGACCTTGGGCATCAAACAAATTGCAGAATGTATGAATGTCACTTGCCACAAAAAAAAAACAGGCGAAATTCACAACACTGTTCAAAACTGATTTTATGTATATTCTTTTTTTGTCTTGACATCAGTGACATATATCATGTGCAACTTAATACATAATATATATCTTCCCATGTTTCCTAAAGAAGAATTGAATCTTTTCATGTTTTTATAAAATTGTAATGATCTATAAAACACTAACAATTAGAGATATGAATAAAAACAGTAGATATTTTTGCATTGGCGTTTTCTTATTAGCTATCATTTTTACAGTCCCAAATCCCAATTTTGCTTTTCTAAGAGATAATTACATTTGCTTCTTCATTATGCTTTGGCCTCCCCCTTGATCAATCTAGGGTATGTTTATTAGAGATGATTTCTGGATTTTCCTATCTTTTCACAAAACAAGGTATTCTAACACTTTGGGTACAATTTTGCCATTTCACCAGTGGTCTTCCTAATCAAATGAAAATAGGAAAAGATAAAACTGATGCAATAACCATTTCTAAGTAGATTTTAAAAAATAATTCTTAGGTAAATGGTTTGTACCCATTCTCTTCAGATTCTTCATCCATGAACTTTGAAAAGGAGGGCTGGAAGTGACGATAAGTATATCCTGACTACGTGTCCTCCAAAGTCCATGACTAGATAAGTAGTTCCAAGGATAATGGTATTTCTCCCCTTTGATCATTTCTTTGTCAAGCTGACTGGCCTCGATGGTGAGCGTGCGGCTGGTTGTCTACCACCAGCCGCTCGCAATTTGCTCACGATGTTTCATGAGACAGTTGTTTGTGGCTGTTTGGAACACATTTGTCTCTTTGGGGATTTATGTGCTAGTTGCAATGCCAACCTCTATAGTGATCGAAATTTCTTTCTAACTAAAATAGATAATTAGAGGCTGGTAATTATTGGTCAAGAATTATCAGAGTGAAAAAATTAAGCTTCTCATAAATAGTTCTTGGCAATGTCATCTCTTTATATTATCTCATGCCTAACAGCCCTTTATTCAGAGCACTTACAAATTTACTCTACGCTGTTGAGCCTCATAATTTTATATGAGGCAATCCCTTTGCTGGGTTAAACACATTTAAATTCTCTGGTTTCATCTTTATTTGGGCTAATTGATACCAAATAATAATAGTAACAAAATAAATCTCAAATATGAAAATAGCAATAAATATTTACTATGCTGATAGAAAGAGAAGGCTAAGTAATAGTTTAAAGACATAATACACAATAACTTCTTTTTGTGTTTTCAGGTCAAAAGCCAACGTAAATCATGTGAAATGAACAAAGAGAGAAAGAAAAAATTTTCTCATCCATACAGACATTAAAAGAGGGGAATCTTTTCCCTGGGAAAGCTGTTAAAATGTTTTGTAGCTCTTTTGTTGTGTGTGGGTAAAGAAAAAAAGAAACCCCTAAATAGTCACTGGTCTGATTTCTTACTGAAACTGTGTCAAAATGAGGTAGAGAGTGAGGTTTTCTTTCTTCTTTAATAGACATAAGTCAAACCCCTAGTGCCTTTTTATTGAGTAATTATTCCTGCAATCCAGACCATGTGTCCACACCTAGCTACAAAACAGCACTTAAGAAGAGCACCTCTGGTATGTACATGGTAGAAACATTGATAGCTTTCCTTCCACAAAGGTCCCTGGCCAATAGCCTGAGACCAGCACGTCCAGGAAGTGCAGACTTTGCCTAACATTGAAATTGCATTAAAACGTATGTGCAACATAGGAACAAATGCAAATGATTTAGTTAAACAAGGAATTTAAGGCTATACCTCACTGAGTCATCTATAGATCCTGTTTTCCATCAGGTGACATAATCCTTCCTCTAGACTGATTGAAATGTAAAACAAAATCTGTAAAAACACTATATACCCTCTTAACTAAAAGAGTAAGAGGCTTTTCAGATAGCCTCTAATCGCTCTTTCCCTGCTAAATGTCTAGTTGAGATTATTTTTCGATTAGACAAAAAACACACACAAATACACCACCTAAAAATATCTACCCTCAATGGAGGTATTTGAGCCAACAAAATAATGCTCTCTGCCTTATTTGAAAGACTAAGTATCACACTGGGATTTTAAAGGAGGATATCTTAGCCTTTGTGACATCCTCTTGTTTTGTATTCTCTCTCTAGATATTAACAACAGAAACGGAGTTTAAAAACTTGGATGCATGGTCAACAAATAAAACAATTAAATGGATGCTATTCATTTGTTTAGGCCTCAAGTGCAAGGGAATTACATATTTTATTATTAAAAATAGCATGAATATTAAATAACCAGGCCCTCTGTGAAAAGGAATGGAATTTGCTTCTCTCATGTAAGGTGAATCCTTAAATGCTCAGATCCCAAGAGAAGGTGAGTGTCATATTAATCCACCAGAAGGAAGAGGGAAAAAAAGCCTTGGGAAAGCACTAATGATACAAGGAATATAAGATAAATACAAACAGAGAAGGTATAAAGTGATTTAAAAGGAAGAGCCAGGACAAATAAATGTTATGGACAAAGTGATACTCAATCTGGAATATCAAAATGTCTTTTGTTTTTCTGAAGTAATTTTTGCCATAGGGTATGTGTGCTCACCTGAGACACAGAGAGAAATCACCCCCACCCCGAGACAGATGGCCAGCCACACTGCAATCCTTTCTCCCCCATGCTCTTCTTGGGATTTTGGGCACACGCATGTGCCTGATGTGAGTTTCAAGCCACAAGGTCCAGGACTCAAACCATGGTCAACTGCGTGGGAATCCAGCACCTTAACCACTATGCCATCTGCTGGTCCCTAAAAATGTTTTTTTATGTTCAACATTCAATTCAGAATCTACATGTGCAAAGGAACATTGATTAGTATCACGGTAAAAACATATTCAACATGTTGATCTGGGGATTAGGATAAATAGTAAATCCAGAAACAAAAAGTAAGTTTAAGTTAAATAGAATTAACCTGAAGAACCATGACAACATTTCACTAAATTTTCTATAAGCTATAAAATTCTAAGAAATGCTTTCACTTCAGCCATTGAAAACTGCATCATGAGGTAAACTCACGAATGCAAACACTAGTCAAGAAACAAAAAAGATTGGAATGTTTAACATTTATCATTTGGCAAGAAGAACCTTTGACGATCCCCCCTCCCCAGGTCATCTAACCCCCAAAGAGCAGTTTTGAATGTTTATATAGAGTATTTTTCAGAATCCGAAACAGAAAAGAATTGCAAGGAAACACACTATTTGAATCTCTTACATGTTGTCATTATCTTCTGAACACTCAGAAAAACTGTCAGTGCTGTTGTGTCACAGTGAAAAACCCATTATTTAGTGTATTAGAAAAATCGCTGCTAGTTTTAGTACTTAAGTCTAGAAAATATAGAGATAAAGTGATCAACATTTCAGCTGTTACAAATACATTCCATTTTGCACAATTAACCACTTAGTCTTTTATAAGCAATAATCCTCCTAAAGAGCCATCATTTGAAAACTATAAAGTAGATAAATCTGATTGAAAAACTATTTTCCAACATGCTTTGAATTTACCTTCATTCATTTATATAAGATATAAGAACACTGGAAGTTTTGACATGGTTAGTTTCAATGATAAGTGATGGCATCTGAAGCAATCCTTCCACTGAACATTTTTGGAATATATCGGATTAGTGTACAATAAAGCGTGTTTCCCCATGAAAACAAATGTTGAATTTTCTTTCCTGTCTTTCAGAGTTCCCTAATAGAAGAGCATGAGGTTAACTGGACTATTCAATAGTATAGTATATCACAATTATTTATGGTATTATAAAATACCATGAAGTGAGTATGAAATAAAAAACTCTCATAGTATAAAAACACAAATGAGTAACAAAAATAGAACAAAGTAATAGCAATTGTCATTTTACTAGTAGAAAAAGATCTGCTTGATAAAGTTTAATTGGCTGGTAAAACTCTTAGTGTTATTACCAAGTGCTTATCAAATTAAAAAACATAGGCGGTAACCCCTGAGGAATTAAAGAGATAATGGGACAATATGAATAAGTGAAAAAATTATCCTTTTAGTTCTTGCCCATGTGATAAAGGCAAAAATCCTAAAAACATTGGCCTGGAGTGCTGGCGTGACTTCAGAGCTCTTTCCCCAAAATGCTCTCATAAAAATCTATGGAAAATTTGGTGGGGAATAAAAAATGATTACTGAATTCTTTACATGATCTTTATGATCATGATTATTTCCAGACTGTTGAAACCATACATATAAAACTATTTTATGGCAATTCAAATTATTTATGTTTCCCTATCACAAAAACTCTCCACTTTAGATTTGGATACAAAGATGCTTAAGCAACACACAGCAGTGCCATTACCATAATAACTTCTGAAATTAAAACCTGTCTAAAACTCTATGGAAAGCTAACATCCAGTTCATTAACCATTCCTGTTAGTTTTCAATAATGCAAAAATGATTAGAAGTTTAATTTGTTAATCACCTGTGTTTTGACTGGCAGTAGATATATAATCCTCTGCAGAAGTCTAAACTAGCCCTTGCAGAAAATAAAATGTGCTAATAATGCCTTATCAGGTCTAATAATAGGAATAAAAAAAATCAATCATGCTGAGGTAAACCATTGATGGTTGAACAATTAATTCATCTTTTATTCTGTTTAATTATATAGGCACTGATGTACACAAGTAGGAGAAAAATCTATCTGTAATAAGGATTAGAGCATTACTCACCAATCATGTGATTTGCAACATGAACCTGAATATCCCATTCATTGTAGAAAACCATCTGACACTTGATGCATTGGTAGGTCTTCTTCTAAGAAAACAAGTATAAACAAGATTACTTAGACATGTATACTTTTTATTGTTTGTTTCTGAAAAACAAAAACACACAACCACACTCACAGCATTTCCCTGAGATGCTAGTCTTACATATCAATAGACTTTGTGAACCAACCTACTGTGAAGCTGCTTGGGCAAAGTTTCCTGAGTACCTTACTAAGACTTTGTGGCTTGATATCAACACTCTACTTTCAGTTGCTAACATTTGGAAGAAACTAACGCATATAACTACAGCATTAATACATTTTTAAAGATTCCTAAACTCAGACACAGAAATTATATTTAAAAACTCTGTACCACATGGCTGAATTTCAGAAACCAATATCTTTAAGTACCAGGCACAAATATCATTCTGCCCAGACTACTTTAGTTTTCCTTCTAGTAGTCTGTAAGTAAAATGGTTAATAACTTAAGGTCCTCAGAAGCTAGCTAGCCTATTTAGAGATTATAATTTGTGGCTAATGTCTTATATGATATTTCAGAAGTTGCTTAGTTCGAATATTTAAATACAATTGACCCACTGCACCCACAGGTTCTGAATCATCAGTGTTAACTAAACGAGGACTTACAATATTTGGGGGAAAAATTGGTGTGTCTGTATTGAACATGCAAGATTTTGTTTTGAGCCAGTATTTCCTAAACAATATGGTATAATTACTACTTACATAGCATTTCCATTGTATTAGGTATTATAAGTCATCTTAAAATGATTTAAAGTATGGAAGAGGAAATATGACGTGAACTTCAGTGGGTTTTGGTATGGGGGATGGTACTGGAACTAATTTTCTGCAGATACACAGGAACCACTCTATATACTTTCTCATATAAAGAAATTATACCATAGTAAATATTTAAAACAATTTTAGGGGTGGCAAGTGGCATGGTGGTTAAGGTGCTAGACTCCCACATGGCCGATCGTGGTTCATCCCAGACCTGTCAGCTTGCTTTCCCACTCCCCCCACCCACCTCTTGTCAAATGAAAAAATAATAATAAATTAAATATAATGCTTTAAACATAATTTTACTCAACAGCCTTGGGAAGCATAATATATAGAGCAAAGTTTACTTATAGCATAAATGAAAATACAGAGTCCCAGAGTAGTAGAAAGATTTGCCTGCTGTCACATGTCATAAAGCTAGGAAGAGAAAAAAAGCTCTCTTGTTTCTAAATGCTAGATTCTCTGATAAAAGCAGCCCCTATGACTTTACATTATTATTGTGTCCCTATACAGACTAGATGAACTCAATAAATAAAGTATTGGTTGTATTTTCCAGAACACACAGTTACATATGTTCCTTTATGATGACACTTAATAGTTACAATACAAAAGTATTTTGGAAAATAAATTAAACCATTATGAAATATTCCATTTTGAAAATCTCCCAAATGTGAAAAAATTGCATTTCTAAAATTACACAAATGACATTTTGTGATCAGCATTGTTACAGAATGCAAACCTACAAACATATTTTACCAATAATATTAATAGAAAATACCAGTCTGTAAATTTATAGTTCATTTAAAAGAACTCAAGTTCTTTAGAACCAAATAAACTCAAAGTTAACCACAAACACTGAGTGTCATTTGGTTTCCGATTAAAATTTTGAATGCCACAAATGTAAAATTTCCTAATTATTATTATCATTCTATTATTCATTTACATCGTATTTTCTTCTGCAACAATGGACAACATTACTTGCAAGCCACAGAAATACAGGCATGTTTCCAACAGAAGCTGTCTCAGTAATCTAACGGTCTTTGTACATTAGGCATATTGTGAATTGAGTGTGCTGAATCTAAATCTAATGCAGACTTCAAACACACTGACAATCACGGAGGAAGATTTACTACACTGAGCTGTTTACAAGATGCTTTTGATAGTGACATATAGAGCAACATGTGTTGCGTAAATAACATCTATCCCTTTTTTAACAATATTTCCCTTTAGAACTAGTTAGAAAATATTTCTTACTCCCTGATGACCTACATTATATATTGTTTATTAGCATACTTCTAGCATTATTCCTGATATGTGACCTTGCTGAAAAACAAAGAAACATAAACTTAATGGCTAGTTTTTTCTCTTGTTAGCACAGTAAAACATACAATATGTCGAAAACTGTCTCCAAAAATGATGACTGATGAATATGTTGGTGGAATATACTGCAGCGCTTTTTTTTTCTTGGTCTAATAATAAAGAATAAAATCACTTGAAAAGCCAAAATAATGAAATACCAGCACTTAGTACTATTTTCAAAATGAACTGACACATTTGAAGATCTATGTATGTAAGTTTTCTTTTATCAATGAAAGAAAATGCTTTTGTCATTACTAATAAGTCAAATACTAATTCTTCCTGCTCTTAAAACAGTGTCTAAAATACTGCATTCCATTTTTATTATCAATGCCATTTCCTCATCTATAAGTTCCTAAATTTGCACCGACACAAAATAAGAATTTAATGTGATCAAAAACAATGCACCATGATTTTAAAATATGGCAGCGTGAATTGTACCTCATCATATGTTTCACATTTCCCAAATACAAAGCAATAATATCTAAATTGGATGTGTTATGGGTTTTCTTTTGAAAGCCATGATGTAAAATTCATTTTTACCTTCCATTTTTAAAAAAGTAATTTTAAATGACCTTTAAAGCATGCCTTATTATCATGATAGTTTCTAAGCAAAATATTTGAGAGACCCCTGCACATCCATACCCCATCTTTAAGTAAAGGGGTTGTAACCTATAAAGGGTGTCAGCCTTGGAAATCTCTTTCCTCTGGGTGTTAATCTGTTCTAGCTCTGTACGGCTGAGATTATGAAGGAAACCATCCTAATTCTAGGCCCAAATCTGCCTTTGTGCTACTTTCACTTACTGGCCCTGACTCTAGGCTCTGCTGCAATAAAGACGAGGTTAAATCCCTTGTCTAATATGACAGGGATGGTAACCCCTTTTTACACTGAAAACAGGGGCACAGTATCAGGAATACTTGGAACCACTTTCCACCCTTGATACCTTCCTCTAGCTCAAGGTTTTTATAAATAGAACAGCAAATGAAGCCCAACACTCCAGGTGTGACCTGACCCTTGTGGAGTACAGAAGGACTGTCACCTCCTCCCATAGGACCATTACTTGCATTTATGTAAAAGACAACAAAAAAGTCTAGTGAGATAATTTCTTTTAAAAGCAGATAAAAGTAGAAACAGAACTTCCATTGTTTGGGCCCCAGATTGGCCTTTATCAACGCTTAAGTTGTCAATTTACTTGAAATGCTAATTTAGTACAATTTTTAAAAGAGACTTTTTTCATTAGCCTTTTTAAATGTGCTACTTGGGAGAGGGATTGTCATTTCCTGATTGTTCTCTTTTGTTTTCTGATACTGATAGATGTAATTATCAAGGATACAACTTTTTCCCAGCACCTCATTATTTTTGATTGATTTTAAGAACAATTTAAATGTGCCTTTTTGACATTCTTGTTTTCAGTTATACTCTGGTTAAGGTACTTAGAGACTTTCAGAAAAGAGCATCCCATAAATTTAAAAAAAAAAAAGATCAGAGATTTTTAATAATGTATAGTTAAAAAAAAATTATTCTATTGACTCTGCCTCCCTCCATCTAATACATAACCTACTAGGACTAAGATATCACATTTAGTTTAAACAAATTTTTCAAATAATTTTTAAAAATTACACAATGTAGTTTTAAATCTCTGTTTTTTCTTTAACAAAATGCCCATGCATTTAAAACAAAAATAAATGAGTTCATAGAAATCTTCAGAAACAAAAAAAGAAAAATATCTCAGGTGCCTCCATCAGAGGTGATTATTATATAAATTTATTTTTTAAAATATTTATTTATTATTATTATTCGCATGAGTTTTGCCAGAGAGAGACAGAGAGAGTGAGAGAGGGAAAGTTAGAAAGCAAGCCTCCAGGACTTGAACCGCGGTCATCCATACAGGAATTCCAGCACCCCAACCACCTTGCCACCTACAGGTCCCTATAAATTATTTCTCTGAAAGTTGGAAATGATCAGGTTAGAAGCAGGCCAGCCTTGGTGCTGCAGTGGCATAGCAATGGTTTGAGATGCAGAGGCCACATGGGAAAGTCCCAGGTTCATGTTCAGAGGTCTCCCATGCATGCTAGGCATGCATCGGCCTGTGAACCTAATTGGGTCAGGCAGGTTTGTAGAATCATGGATGAAGACCTTGTTGAGAGTGCTTCACTCTCTTTATTTCTTATTTTTTAATCTCTTTCTTTCTGTCACAGAAAAAGTAAATAAACTCTAAAAAGGGGGTGTGACCAGAGCCTAGCGAGTTAAAGGAGCTGGATCCCACATTGCTGACTGCAGTTTGAATCCTGCCTGGCCTGGCAGCTTAAAAACACACCGAACAGATGCTTGTGTATACCCAAAATCTTGACAGAATGGAGAAATGGAGGAGAAGGGATTGTAGCCTGACCATGCCACGTTGGGGGGTGTTTTCTTCTTTCTCAATCTCTCTGTTTGGTAAGCATTTATGCCCTCTGGGAATTAAAAAAAAGGTCAAAAGCACCTTGCTGTGTTAGTAGGAATTGTAATTTGTGACTCTTTGATAAGGGAAAGCTCTTCTTTTTTTGGAAAGATTTTTTTTTTCTATAGGGCACGAGTGAAAAAAGTCTAGTGAGATAATTTCTTTTAAAAGCAGATAAAAGTAGAAACAGAACTTCCATTGTTTGGGCCCCAGATTGGCCTTTATCAACGCTTAAGTTGTCAATTTACTTGAAATGCTAATTTAGTACAATTTTTAAAAGAGACTTTTTTCATTAGCCTTTTTAAATGTGCTACTTGGGAGAGGGATTGTCATTTCCTGATTGTTCTCTTTTGTTTTCTGATACTGATAGATGTAATTATCAAGGATACAACTTTTTCCCAGCACCTCATTATTTTTGATTGATTTTAAGAACAATTTAAATGTGCCTTTTTGACATT